GAGTCAATGATTTTCATGAGGATTTTGGCCTCAATAACTAGAAAGATGCAACTGCTATTAACTGATATGAAGAAGACTGTGGGAGGAGCAAATCTGTGAAAAACTAAATGTCAAGTAGGCAGTCAGGGTTAGATGAGTCCGGAGGTTAGAGAACAGCTGCAGACCAGATATATAAGTTTGAGAGCTATCAGTATCTAGATAATATTTAAAACCATGAGATAAGAAGAGATCACCAAAAGATCAAGTGAAAAGCAAGACAGAAAAGAAGTCCAAGGATTGAGCCCCAGGATACTCCAATATTAAGGGACTGAAGATGGGGGAGAAACAGCAAAACAACAACAACAAAAAACAAAAACAAAAAACCTAAGAAGCTATAGCCAGTTGAAGTTGGAAGAAAAGTAAAAAGCTCTAGTGTTGTAGGAACCAGGTAATAAGGTACTTCAAAAAAAAAAAAGATTGATTAATTATGTTTAATTCTGTTGACAGGTAAGTCAGTAAGACAGTAAATAAGACAATAAGATGGAGTCTGAGAATGACCATTGGATTTAGCAATGTGGAAGTTTTGGGTGACTTTAATAAGAGTACTTTTATTAAGAGGTAAAGGTAAATAGTCTCACTAAAATGCACCTGAGAGACAATGTGAGGAGAGGAATAGGAGCAGCAAATACACACAACTCAAGGATTTTTGTTATGAAGGGAAGCAGGGAAGTTCCGTGGCAGCTGAAGGAAGATGTAGGATAAAGAAAGGTGTTTTTTTTTTCTACCTCTCTTTTTTTTTTTTTTTTAGCTGGTTGGTTTTTAAGATCGGCAAAATTACAATATGCTTATAAACTGATAGTAATACTCTAGTAGTCAGAAGAAAAACTGATGATGCAGAAGAGAGAGGGAAGAAATGCTGAAGAAATGTCCTTGAGTAGATGGGAGGGAACTGGATCTAGCCACATGCCAGGGTAGGCCTAAGATAGGAGAACGAACAGTTCATCCACATTAACAGGACTTAACAGACTCAAGTAGGTGGGTAGGTATGATGGTGGAAACTTGTGACGTTTCCTTTTGATTGCTTATTTTTTCAGTGACACAGGAAGCACTGTCACCAACTGGTAGTGAAGGTAAGGAAAAACCTATAGCAAGTTTGAGGAAAGTTTGAGTAAGATGAAACAGTCATCTAGGAAATGTTCATTCTTACTTAATCATTTTTCAATTGAAATGCCTGCCATTTACCCTGTTTGAAATTCGGGACTCAAATTTAATCCTGTCCCCCTTGCACTCCTACTGCCCAAATCAAAATCTACTCATTTCAGCTCAGTTCTTTATCTTTACCTCTCCTTTCTTATAGGCCCCTGCTAATCTCGAAAATTGGTAGAATATTTCTATACAACTCTGATTTCACACATTTGTAAACTAAAAAACAAAACAAAACAGAACAAACAAAAAAAACCACTTAAGATTCCAGGCTCCTTTCCAAAGTACACTGATCCAATCCAAACAGGATTCACCATACTACCATCACAAAGGGCCATGAGACTCAGGTTTCCTCGTTGGTAGCTGCTACTCAGCATTCTCTAACTTCAAAAACATAGATCATTAGACATTGTCTACATATAACCAAATTATAATGCAAAAGCACACATATTCTCAGATGAAATTTATATTCATAGGCTAAAAGAAGACTTGAAAGACTCCTAATCTAATGCAAGATCTAATCCCATCATAATTCTACTACTAACTTGATGTCAAACAAGTCAATTCACCTGTTTCAGATTACCAAACCAAAAAAAAAAAAAAAAAAAAGTATAATCAAACAAGCAAAATAAAATTGTTGTATAAGACCAAAGACAGAAATAAAAACCAATACAACTTATCCTGGTAATGCAAAGTAATTTAGCACCTGAAAACAATGTAATACAGCATATTAACAGAAAAAAAGGACAAAGAATACATGATAATAATAAATGCAGAAAGAATATTTGACAAAATTCAACACCTTTCCATAATAAAAACACTCAACAAACTAGTAATAGAAAGAAACTCCCTCAACTTGAAAAAGAACATCCACTGTTAACATCCTATATAGTGGTGAAGGACTAAATGCTTTCCACTTAAAATCAGAAACAGGACAAGGATGTCCAGTTTGCCATTTCTATAAAACATTGTATTGGATATTCTAGCCAGGGCAATTAGGCAAGGAAAAGAAATAACAGGCTACTTATAGATGACAAGATCTTATATATAAACAATCCTAAGGTTTTCTCTAAAAAACTATTAATAAGTGCAAAAAAGTAAACTGTATTTCTTTATACCTGTGATAAACAATCTGCAAGAAAACAATTCAATTTACAAAAGCATCAAAGAATAAAATACTTAGAAATAAACCTAAGAAAATAAACGCAAATGTTACGCTTTGAAAACTATAAAACATTGTTGAAGGAAATGAAAGAAAATCTAAATGAATGGGCAGACACCCTATGTTCATAAGTCAGATGGCAACAGTCCCCAAATTCATCAATAGATTTAATGTAATCCTTATCAGAATCCCAGCCAGCTTTTTGTAGGAAGGTGATCTTAAAATTCATATGAAAATGCAAGGGACCCAGAGGAGCAAAACAATCTTGAAAAAGAACAAAGTTGGAAGCCTCACACTTCCAAACTTCAAAACTCACCACAGAGCTACAGTAATCAAGACAGATTGTACTGGCGTAAAGTAAAACATATAAATCAATGGAACACAACTGAGAGTTCAGAAATAGAAGTTCATGTGTATTTTCAACCTACTGGGGCAAATAATAGTCTTTTTCAACAAATAGTGTTGGGATACTGGTTATATACAAAACAATGAAGCTGGAATACTACCTAATACCATATGCAAAAACTTACTCAAAATGGCCTACAGACCTAAATATGAGCTAAAACTATACGACTTTTAGAGGAACACTTAGGAGTAAATATTTGTGACCCTGAATTAGGTAATGGTTTCTTACACAAGACAACAGAAGCACAAACCACAAAACAAAAAGTAGATAAAATAGACTTTGTCAAAATTTAAAATTTTTGTGCTGCAAAGAAAATCACAGAGAAAGTGAAAAAACAATCCCTAGAATGGGAGAAAATATTTGCAAATCATACATATGATAAGAAACCTATATGTAGAATACACTGAGAACACTTACAACTCAATAATAAAAAGACAAGTAACCCAACTACAACGTGAACAGAGGATCTGAAAAGCCAGTTCTCTGAAAGACATAAAGTATATGAAAAGATGCTCAACATTAACAGCCATGAGGAAATGGAAATTAAAAATACAGTGAAATATCACTTTACACCCACTGGGATGGCTATAAGCAAAGACACAGATAATGACAAGTGTTGGTGAACATGTGAAGAAATCTGAACCCTTATATATTGTTGGTGGAAATGTAAAATGCTGCAGTCATTTTGAAAAGTTTGCAGTTTCTCAAAAGGTTAAACAGAGCTGCCAGAAGACCCAGTAATTCCACTCCCAGGTATATATCCAAAATAAATGAAAATATATGTCTACAGAAAAACTTGCAAACAAATGGTCATAACAGTGTTCGTAATAGCCAAGAGGTAGAAACAAATGTTTATCAACTGATAAATGCATAAATAAAATGTGGTATATCCATAGAATAAAGCACTATTCAGCAATGAAAAGCAATGAAATACTGATACATGCTACAAGATAGATATGTTTGAAAACATGTTAAATGAAAAACTCTATCATAAAAGATCACAAATGATATATTCAATTTACATGAAAAGTCCACAATAGGCCAATCTATAGGGCAGAAAGTAATTAGTGATTGCCTATGGTTGGAGGGGCATTTTGGGAGAGAAAACGGGAAGTGACTACCAATGGGTATGAGAGATTCCTTTATTTTCTATTTAAAAAATTTTTAATTGTGGTAAAAACACATAACCTAAAATCTAACATCGTAACCATTTTTTAAGTGTACAGTTCAGTAGTGTTAAGTGTACTTACATTGTTGTGAAACAGATCTCCAGAGCCATTTCATCCTGCAAAACTGCAACTGCATACTCCTTAAACAAAGCTCTCCATATCCTCCTACTTCCAGCTCCTGGCAACCACTATTTTACTTTCTGTCTCTACTAATTTGACTACCTAAAGTACTGCATATGACAGTATTTGTCCTTCTGTGACTGCTTTTTTCACTTAGCATAGTGTTGCAGTGTGTGACAGGGTTTCCTTCCTTTTTAAGACTGAATATTTTATTGAATATACCATATATTATTTACTATTTATCCACTGATGGACATTTGAGTTGCTTCCACCTTGGCTATTATTAATGCCACTATAAACATGGGTGTGCAAATACCTGTTTGAGATCCTACTTTCAATTCTTTTGGACATATACCTTGAAATGAGATTGCTGGATCATGGGGGCTTCTTATTTTAGAGTGAAAATTTTATAGTGGTTATGGTTGCACAACCAGTGAATATACTAAAAACCACTGAATTATATGCATTAAATGTGTCAATTATATATAATATGTGAATGATATCTCAATAGAGCTGTTAAAAAATACAATGCTTAAAGGCTGAATCAAGTTATAATTACTTCAAGGATTTTGGCTGAGCTAGATAATCTGGTTACATAACTATTCAATCTTATTCATGTAATTCTAATTATTTTCAAAGCCTTGGCTAGATGTTTAGTTTTTATTTATTTATTTTGAGCACAAACCTAAGTGCTTCTTCAGCACTGTACATCAGAGAAAGTAGAAAAAAGAAACTGTCAGTATGTATATTCAATCATAATATTAAACCTTTTCATATTTTGTATCAGGAAAAACTGCAAGGAAATAAAAAATTCATACCAACTATGGCAATTTTTATTTCATTTGCCGTGTAGCCATGTCATTCACCAGGATTTTAAAAATAGGGAAATAAGGAATTTACTCACTTTGACTTGAGATTCACTTTTTCAAATGTCACTCACAATTATTTCACATAGAAGATATTCAAAAGACAAAGGATTTATTTACCTTTTCTGCAACAGAAAATTACACAATTAAAAATTCCTATGTCTAGTGTCACTGAATGGGGAAAGAGGCAATATATTTTTAAAAACAAGAGAAAAAATTTTGAGAAAAAAATGTGCAACAAATTTAAATTCTTATAATCTTGAATTCTTATATACAACTAGAAAAGGTAATGGCAATATAGATGGCCACTGATGTTCAGAAACACATTTCATCACTTTCTTTTCTGCTTCATCCAGACATTTTCAGTATTGTCAAGCTCAAAAACACAGTTTTAGAAGATGATAAATGAGAGAATCTCAAAGATTTCACATGAGCTCTCTGATCAGAGCAGAGCAAAGTAAGAGAAGCCTTACTTGTCTGATCATATTTTAAAATAATAGGCTCCATATGGTTCACAAGAGAGAAGAGAGGAGTAAGTCAGCTTTCAATCTTGGTTCCAAGGCAGATTAAAACAATGATTACAATCTAATTATAAAGACAGTTATTACATGAGACAGTATTTCTTTCCAGAGTATATATTTTATAACTTGAACAGCTTTTCTTAAATAATCTCTCAGGGCTGATTTTAAGTAAAAGCCAAAATACTACCAGTTAATTTCAGATTCTTATTATAGATTTTTCAAAGTCCGCCTGTGTGCAGAAGCAAAATTATGAATTGCGACTCGAAGAGCTGAATTACCCCCAGGGACATCACAGGAATTGATGAATGAATGTAGTGCCCGAGTATATGCTGCAAAAAAAGGTTTGCACAGCAATGAATAAAGTCAAATTCTAAACAACTCTACCAGCCTCCATCTTATTAGTAATGCTTCTCTACCAAGAGTCTTACAAGTAACTATCTACCGAATAAATATTTATTGAGTACTTACTATATGACAAGCACTCTGTGAGGACAGAAAAGATAATAAAGTGCATGGACACAAAAATAATTAAGTTGCCATGTAATACTTCCAAACCAGAGGTATGTACAAAATGTCACATAGGCCAGGCACAGTGGCTCACACCCGTAATTCCAGCACTTTGGGAGGGTGAGGCAGGCAGATCACTTGAGGTCAGGAGTTTGAGATCAGCCTGGCCAACATGGCAAAACCTCATATCTACTAAAAACACAAAAACTAGCTGGATGTGGTGGTGCAAACCTGTAATCCCAGGTATTCGGTAGGCTGAGGCACTTGAACCCAGGAGGCAGAGGTTGCAGTGAGCTGAGATCGTGCCACTGCACTCTGGCCTGGACAACAGAGCAAGACTGTCTCGAAAAAAAAAAATGTCATCATAGAATGAAGCTGGGAATGAATGTACAACTACCTAGGACAGGATGGAAGACTCCCAGAAGTGGTAACACTTAAGATGAGTTTTGAAGAAAATAACAAGAGTAAAGGAAATAACACAGAGAACTGAGTGTGTGAGGTGCAAAAGGAGTGAACAATATGGCACATACTGGGAATAGCAACTTTGATAAGGCTGGAGTAGGGCCCAGAGCCAGAGAGAAAATACACCAAATATGCCATGCATCTTATACTGCAATGGGGAGCCCTAGAGGTTTTCGAATAGGGAAATGGCATAATTAGATTTGTGTTTTTTAAAATAAAGCTGGTAAGAAACTCATATCATACAGATGAAGCACTAGGAATATATATACTGGCAGTATTCCTAGTGTATACATGAGGGCGACATAATCTTTACACTATATAAATCAATGTATTTAAGGATGCATAGGAAATGGAAATATTAAAGACAATATGAAGGACTAAGTTTTCTCTACCTGGGACACTCCTGATAGAGTTTATACTGTTTCTTATTTTCCTCAGTGCCTCCTGGCAGAACCAGCAATCTAATGTGGATATACATGGTAATACATCCATGTTACATACCATTAAAGTATTTGGGTAATAGGGAATTCAACTGGATAGAGTCCTAACTTACATAAAAGGCAAATTCTAATAGTCTTCAGTTAAAGGACCTGGAACTGAAGTCCTTCTACAGTAGAATGAGCTGAAAATATTTCCCCAACATAAATGGAGACAAGAAGATAACAGATCTCCAAGAGAAATATAACTCATTATAATTTTTTCATTGCCTCAAATAGTTATTTTAAAAAGGGTTTATAACAGTCTCTGACACATAGTAAGCATTCAATAAATGGTAAATTACTACTACCACTACTCTTATTGATTTTTCTTGTTGCCATTAGGCCCTGACTATTCCTTCAAGAAACTTACCCCTGTGGTTTTTATAGAAAATACAGTTGTTGGCACAGGTATCAGGATGAGCATCCCAAAAATCAGGACCACAACAACATAGTGGAGGTAAAGTAATATTATACAGCTGCATTTTCTCCTGGATTTGGGCTCGTAAAGCTTCTACATATCTGTAAAAATAAAGTATGATCAGGCAAAGTGAACTACTAGAAAGAAAGTGGGCATGAATCCTGACTTTATAGCCAGCTTTAACTGTTAAATCTATTTCGTATCTCTGAGCCTTGATATTTCCTCTTTGTACTGTGAAAAATGCAGGGCTACACCCAAGAAGTATTAGGCAATCAAAAAATTTGGTTAAGTTATGAACTCCTAAATGAGGAAAAGTATGAAAAGACACAATCAATTCTCTTCTAAGGAAAATGAGAACAATGACTTTCTACCAAGTCTCCTCTAGAGCCAGAATATCATGAAGACCTTTTCAAATTACCTCAGGTATTCTTTTTCTCTCTGTTGTTTTTCTCTGGCTCCTTTTATTTCTTCAAGTTGTAACTGGGCTAATATCTCACTCATTTTGTCTCCTGAATATGGATCTTCATGAAAGTTCATTCTTAGGATCCTCTGCTCTTCAGCATAACGTTCTTGCTCTCTCTTTTTCTTAATTCTGAGAATAAAATCATAACATGGTTAGGAATTTCCTAAAATTATTATTTAAAATTAGCTTCTTTATCCAAATAACTCAAGAAATTCCCAGAAACTAAGGAGTCAGGAAATCAGTTTAATATCCCAAGGATATCTTCAAAAATTTCTGCTGGCTGCTTTATCTCCTCTCAAAGAGAAATGAGCAATAGCTACTATTAGAAGAGTTTTTCCAGGCTAGGTGTGGTGGCTCATGCCTGTAATCCCAGCACTTTGAGAGGCCAAGGCAGATGGATAACATGAGGCCAGGAATTCCAGATCAGCCTGGCCAACATGGTGAAAACCCATCTCTACTAAAAATACAAAAATTAGCCGGGCAGTGGTGGCACGGGCCTGTAATCCCAGCTACTCAGGAGGCTGAGGCTGGAGGATCACTTGAACCCAGCAGGCAGAGGTTGCAGTGAGCTGAAATTGCACCACTGCACTCCAGCCTGAGCGACAGAGCAAGACTCCCATCTCAAAAAAAAAGTTTTTCTGTAAGAATGTAGCACAACAGTCTTTTCAGATTAAAACTACAAGTAAACAGGGCTTCTGCTTCTGACCAAAACAGAGTAACAGGAACCACATTTGCCCTCCAATCTTAAGCCACCAAAAAAATTTTTAAAGTTTTAAAAAGTACACAAATCAAACAAATACAAGAAATGATGGTTTTCAAGACATTGGATACCAGGTAACAAATGACACTGCTCTTTGACAGACGGGAAACAAGTGAAGTAAACCCTATAACTGCCAGAGATTACTGCCTTGGAAGGTTCCAGGCAGTGGCACAGGGCAGGGAAATTGAAGTGAAGCCTGATGGGCTCTATGAATTCAAGAGATGGAGTTAAGAGTGCAGGGAGACAAAGGCAATTAGAGTTCACAGGACAAAGTACCAGAGAGAAGAAAGTTGCCCAGAGACAGCATCCCAGAGATGAACAGAGAGTCTCCTGGTACACAGCAGAGCACTGATTGGTGTATGTATGCAGTGAAATAACCTGAGGCTAGGGAGAGAACCATCCAAAATAAAAGAGAACAGTGACTACAGTACACATAGCTCCAGGAATAATTGGTCCTTATTTCCACCAATCAAACTTGAAAAACTTGTATTTCACAGAACATTAGGTAGAGTATTCAGAATGATCTTATCTGAGCAGTAGGGAATAAAAACTAATCCTAGACTGAGTACTGCACCAGACTCACCTGACAAGTTATAAAAGCAAGTCCTCAAATGAACTTGACTGTATGCCAAAACCAGGTTCAAGAATGTAAAGACATCCAGCAACTAACATGGTAAAACTCACAACATTGGGCATCCAACCAAAGATTACTAAGAACACAAAGAGGCAGAAAAACACAACTCACAATCAGGAGAATAATCAATCAAAACGACCTAGAACTGACACAGTTGTTAGAATTAGCAGAGAAAAACACTAAAGTAGTTACTACAAATGTATTTTATATGTTCCAAATGTTAGGATACAAAAAAGACAAATCAAACTTCTAAAGATGAAAACTACAATTTTAAGACTATGATTCGAGATTAAAAAAACAGTGAATGGGAATACTACCAGCATAGATGTTGCAGAAGTAAACCTGAAAACATAACAATAGAAACCATCCAAAGTGAAACACACAAAAAAAATCTGAAATGACAAAAAGAGTACAAAATAACACCAAACTAATCATATAAAAATGGACAAAGGACTTGAATAAACGTTTCTCCAAAGATGATATACAAATTGGCTAACATGCATACGAAAAGATGCTCAGCATCACTAATCATCAGAAAAAGGCAAACTGAAACCACAATGAAATGATCACCTCACACCCAATAGGATACTTACTATCAAAAAAATAAAAAATAACAGGTGTTGGTGAGGATGTGAGAAATTGAAAGCCTTGTACACTGTTGTTGGAGCTATAAAATGGTATAACCCCTATGGAAAATAGCATAGACGTTCCGTAAAAAACTATAAATACAGCCACCATATGATCTTACTTCTGGGTACATATTCAAAAGAAAGCAAGAGTCTCAGAGATGTCTGTACACACATGTTCCTAACAGTGCTAATTTTTAACAGGTAAGAGGCAGAATCAGTCCAAATGTCCACTGATGGATGAATAAACAAAATATATTCTATACATAAAATGGAATATTATTTAGCCTTAAAAATAAAACCGTTTCACATTAAACAACATGGATGAACCTTAAGGACATAATACTAAGTGAAATAAGCCAGTTACAAAAAGACAAATAATGTATAATTCTACTCACATGAAGGTCTAAAGTAGCTGTGATGGTTAATACTGAGTGTCAGCTTGATTGGATTGAAGGATACAAAGTATTGATCCTGGGTGTGTCTGTGAGGGCATTGCCAAAGGAGATTACCATTTGAGTCAGTGGGCTAGGAAAGGCAGACTCACCTTAACCTCAGTGGGCACAATCTAATCAGCTGCCAGCAAGGCTAGAATACAAGCAAGCAGAAAAATGTGAAAAGAGAGACTGGCCTAGCCTCCCAGCCTACATCTTTCTCCCATGCTGGATGCTTCCTGCTCTCGAACATTGGACTCCAAGTTCTTTAGTTTTGGAAGTGGGACTGGCTCTCCTTGCTCCTCAGCCTGCAGATGGCCTATTGTGGGACCTTGTGATCATGTGAGTTAATAATAAACTCCTTTTGCACACGCGCGCGCGCACACACACACACACTCCATTAGTTCTGTCCCTCTAAAGAACCCTGACTAATATAGATTTTGGTACCAGGAGTGGTTCCAGAGGAACAGAGTATTAAAGATGGAGTTCTTTTGTTGGTTTGGGGGTTTCTGCAGTTGGCTGCTTAATATGATGAAACCCAAAAATGTTAAGGACTCTACTTCTAATAGTATGAAGAACACTGATAGTCCTCGGTGTGAACTGTGTAGAGAGTTATGTCAAATAAATCCATTTGACATTCGCAATTCATCGCTCGTGAGAGGCAAGGAGTTTAGTGACTCTATATAAAATACCTTTGACCATATGTGGAGCATCAAGGAACATAATGAAGTTGGTTGGTTGCTCCTAAGTTCACTGGACAAAGTGATGAAAGAAAATGATGAACTCAGGGATTCTAACTCCTGACTTCAGAAGCAGATACTGAGCCTCAAATCTTCTAAGATTGCCCTGAGTAAGAGTCTTATCACCTGTAGAGAAAGACCTGAAATTGTGGAAAATCAGACACAAGCTCTTATCATGCAAGTGGCTGACCTGCAATGAAAGTTGCATGCACAGCCTTGACAGGTGTCTACTGTTAAAGTGAAGGCATTGATTGGAAAAGAATGGGACCCTGTGACTCGGAATTGGGACGTGTGGGAGGACCCTGATGACACAGGGGACACTGAGCCTGTAAACTCTGATGAACCTTTTTTGCCAGAAGAAACAGCTTCCCCATCCCCAAGGATAGTGGCAACATCCCCTCCCCAACCCATGCTGCCATCAGTATTTCCACCTTTGTCTGAGGAGATAAACCCTGTGATGCATAGGCAACAGTGATGGCCTCCCCTGAGGCAGTTGCCAGGCAAGATAATGTTGATTCTCCTCAGGAGCCACCCCCAAAATCCTGTTTGTTTCTAGACCTATAACTGGATTAAAGTCCCGGTGGGCCCTTAGAGGTCAGGTTGAGAGTGTGACCCATGAAGAAGTGTGCTACACTCGAAAAGAACTGCTTGAGTTTTCTAATTTATGTAAACAGAAATCTGGAGAGCAGGCACGGGAATGGATATTAAGGGTGTGGGATAATGGTGGAAGAAACAGAGTTGCATCAGGCTGAATTTATTGATTTGGGCCCGCCCACTAAGTAGGGACTCTGCATTTAATGTTGCAGCTCAGAGAGTTAAAAAAGGTTCTAATAGCTTATTTGCTTGGTTGGCTGAAATATGGAGTAAAAGATGGCCCACTGTGAGTGAGCTGGAAATGCCTGATCTCCCTTGGTTTAACGTACAGGAAGGGATCCAAAGGCTTAGGGAGATTGAGATGATGGAGTGGATTAGTCACTTTAGACCTACTCATCCCAACTGGGAGGGTCCAGAAGATATAACCCTGACCAATGTCTTGCGAAACAGATTTGTGAGGGCAGCACCTACATCTTTGAAGAGTCCTGTAATTGCTCTTCTCTGTATGTCAGATCTAACAGTGGGAACCACAGTCACTTAACTACAAAATTTAAATACAATGGGAATAATTGGATTCCGAAGTGGCAGGGGCCAAGTGGCAGCACTCAACCATCAAAGGCAACGTGTGTGTAGCTACCACAATAGACAGCAGAGGCAAAGCGGCAATTAGAATAGTCTGACTTATGTAGAGCTCTGGCATTGGCTAATTACTCATGGTGTTCCTAGAAGTGAAACTGACAGGAAGCCTACTGCATTCCTACTTAATTTATATAAGCAGAAAACTTCTATGTCAAATGGACAAAAGATTAATGTGAAGTATAAAAACAGAGAATCATGGCCCCTCAATCCATTTCCAGACTTGAGCCAGTTTACAGACCCAGAGTCCCTTGAATAAAGGGGAGGCCGGTCCCCTTGAGGAAGGACCCCACTACATTACCGACAATTTATGCAGTGAATCTTTCTCCCATCCTTTCCCAAGGAGACCTCCGGCCTTTCACCGGGGTAACTGTGCACTGGGGAAAGGGAAACGATCAGACGTTTCGGGGACTACTGGACATTGGCTCTGAGTTGACACTGAATCCAGGGGACCCAAAACGTTATTGTGGTCCTCCAGTTAAAGAAGGGGCTTATGGAGGTCAGGTAATTAATGGAGTTTTAGCTCAGGTCTGAGTTACAGTGGGTCTGGTGAGTCCCCAGACTCATCCTGTGGTCACTTTCCCAGTGCCAGAATGTATAATTGGCACAGACATACTCAGCAGCAGGCAGAACCCCCACATTGGCTGATTGGTAGGGTAAGGGCTATTATAGTGGGAAAGGCCAAATGGAAGCCATTAGAGCTGC